CTAATACAGTACGAGATCCTAACTCTCTTCAATTCTATGAAAGCTGAGAGAGGTGAGGAAGCTGCAGAAGAAAAGTTTGAAGCTAGCAGAGATTGGTTCATGAGGTTTAAGGAAAGAGGCCACTTCCATAACATAACAGTGTGAGGTGAAGCAGAAGTGCTGATACAGAAGCTGCGACAAGTTATCCAGAAGATATAGATTAGATAACTGACTAAGGTGGCAACATTAAATGGATTTTCAGTGTAGATGAAATAGCCTTCTCTTGGAAGAAGGTGCCATGTAGGACTTTCTTAGCTAGAGAGGAAATGCCAATGCCTGGCTTCAAAGCTTCAAAGGTCAGGCTGACTCTCTTAATAGGGGCTAATGCAGCTTGTGATTTTAAGTTAAAGCCGATGCTCATGTACTATTCTGAAAATCCTAGGACCCTTAAAAATAATTCTAAATCTCCTGTGCCTGTGCTCTATATATGGAACAACAAAGCCTAGATGATACCACATCTGCTTATAGCAGGGTTTTCTGAATATTTTAAGTCCACTGTTGAGATCTATTCCTCACAAAGAAAGATTCCTTTTAAAATATTGCTACTCATTGACAATGCACGTGGTCACCCAAGGGCTCTGATGGAGATGTACAAGGAGATTAATGTTGTTTTCATGCCTGCTACCACAACATCTATTCTGTAGCCCATGGATCAAGGAGTGATTTTTCCTTTCAAGTCTTATTACATAGGAAATATATTTAATAGCTGCTGATAAATTGATTCCTCTGATAAATCTGGACAAAGTAAATTGAAAAATTTCTAGAAAGGATTCACCATTCTAGATGCCCATAAGAATACTGGTGGTTCATGAGAGGAGGTCAAATTATCAAAATTAAGAGGAGTTTGGAAGAAGTGATTCCAGCCTTCATGGATGACTTTGAGAAGTCCAAGACTTCAGTGGAGGAAGTAACTGAAAATGTGGTAGAAATAGCAATAAAACTAGAATTAGAAGCAGGGCCTAAAGATGTGACTGAATTGCTGAAATCTCATGATAACACTTTAAGGGATGAGGAGTTGCTCATGAGAAAAGGAAGTGGTTCCTTGAGATAGAATCTACTCCTGGTGGACATTCTGTGAATATTGTTGAAATAACAACAAAGGATTTAAAATATTATGTAAACTTTCTTAATAAAGCAGCAACAGGGTTTGATAAGATTGACTCCAATTTTGAAAGAAGTTATACTGTGGGTAAAATGCTATCAAGAATTGCATGCTCAGAGAAATCTTTCATGAAGAGAAGAGTCAATTGATGTGGTAAACTTCACTGTTGTCTTATTTTGAGAAATTTCCACAGCCACCCCATCTTTCAGCAACAACTACCATGATCAGTCAGCAGCGATCAACATTGAGG